AGAAATGTACTTACTGTTTGAAACCTAATTGTTTACAAGCAACTGAAGCATCTTGTATATCCCATTCATCATCACATACTAATCCCCATCTTCCATCACGAAATACTTCAATTCTACCAGCATTCGATGCTAAACTATTACCTCTTAATCTGTAATATAATTGTAAAATCATACTCTGACAGAAAAGTACACATTCATATTTCTCAAACTCTAAAAGGGGTTATTAATTCCTCAGTCCGAAGCTTGTCAATTAGACCTGTTGAAAGCTCAAATTCCCATATATGTCGCGCTTATGCTTTAGAATGTACACAAAGCGTCAACTTTCAACCCTTTACATGAAATGAAAGCATAAAAATTTAATCAAAGCATGACTAGCATCTTTAACTATAACTATAAAAATATGTTTGATGAGTTGAAAAGATATCTCAGTGATGTGTCTAATCTCATACTGACATTCATCAAAATCATTTATTTCTCAAAAACTGTTTTACAAAGCAGTGTCACCCTAAATTCCATCAAAATATTATGAAATATTTGCACCCTACATCATGCTGATTTCTACCAACTCACATATACCATGAACTTACCTTATATGTTTACCACTGTACGTTTCAGCTACTTCTGCTGATTGTTTTGGTTTCGGTTTAAATGATTGACCAGAATTATCTGCTGATAGTGACGGCACCAATTTATGCCTTGTTGGTCCTTCAAAATATCTACCATTTACTGTATCTCTCAATGCCTAATATAAAATCATAATAAATTGATTTAACAAATATCATTCCATTCAAGGTGATATTGAAAGGGACATTATGCCCACATATATATCTTAACTTACATAATTTATTGATTGATTTGGAGGACCAAAAATATCAATTCACAATGAAAATGTGAAATTCAGAATTTGACTTGACTAATTATTTTTGTTCAGAAAGTTTAAAGTATCTCAAAACACAGCAGAATAAGATAAACAATAAATACTTACAAATCTACCATTGTTCAAATCAGAATCTACAAATAAATCAGAATATTTTATAAGAAATCTTGCCAGTAAAGCTAACATGTAGGCCTACCCTCATATTGGAGAGTGGTGGCGCTAGTGGGGGAAATGACATATACATTAAGCAATAATTCACAAACAAGAATTAAATAAAGGGGAAAAAATAAAATAAGGCAAAAAGGGCGGGAGGGCAAAACTAAGACTATACTCGTCTGTCAAATATTTTAAACAAACTAACAAAGTGGATAAACTGAGTAGAAGTTGAAATCTAATCACCAGTATTCAAAGGGTTAACATGACAAGTGCTGATCTGGACTATATACTTAAACTCAATATAGGAAAGAAAAACTTAACTTGTAAAGGAGTTGTCATATAATCAATTTCAAGATAAAATACTCCAAAAATACCTTGATTAGGTTTACACACAACAGATGCAGCCTCACTTGCAGCACAATCATGAGATGTATCATGAACACAGGATTGTAAAGTAGTCTCAGTCCCTTTACATTGCACATTATCCATTAGTATATCATTATCTTCATTAGAAACACCATAGAATGCTTTTCCTGGACTTGATATAGCACCTCTACAATATATACTTTACTATTATTACAACTATTGATTTACTGTTCTATCTAACAAAATTGACCCATGGATAAATTCTGTCCAATATATTCATATTCAGTTAGGCCATGCTCAATAACGTAAGCAATATGTATCTTCAAAATACCTTTCCAATTATTACAGTTATTAATCTAAACTGCATATAATATGGGCTTTATCAAAGTTCACATGTGAAAGTATGGTGACCATGAATAAGCCTTCTTTCCTCATTATTCCAATCAACCAAGCTGTNAATGGGTATGAATAATCCTGGAAAGGTCAATGCCAAG